ATAGTACCGACACCAGTATACATTCCTTCGGCGAGTTTCAATGATTTCAAAAAATCTGCTATCCTCCTGTTCCTGTGCTGTACAGGTGGTACTTTATTTTCTGAGAAGTCTTCGGGCTTCAGAGTTGGATCTGGACCAGGGTAGCTGATGATGTCGATGAATTCTGGTTTGACGTGAATTTTGACTGGATCGGGGTAGGAGACTTCATAGCTTCTGTGATAAAACGCATTCACGACTGCTTCACGAAGAGCTCGGTCGGGACAGGCAGAAAATGCATGGCACGCAACGCCTTTTTTTGGTTTCTCCAGGATAAAGGACAAACACCCTTCAATCTGTTGGTCTATTGGGCCAGTCATTTTTTTTCGCTCTTCCAGGTAATTGTCATGGGAGAATATTGCAATTTCTGCCCTTGCCCCTTTGAAAAATTTATGAGGTTCAGGATTAAAAAAAGTAGGGCCACATTTAGTGGTGCAAAAACTGGAACCAACTGCTTTTTGACTACCTTATCTGATGTACTCTTTACCAAATCCATTTTTTGGTAAATAGTTATTGGTTCACCCGTATGACGGGCCAGTTTACTGTCGGTATCCTTCAAGTACTTCAGCACAAGGCCTTTGTCTATATCTTCTTCAGACAGGATACGACCGGTTCCTATTGATGGAAGAGAGGAGAACAACTTTCATTACTATCCTGTATAATTGTGCCTGATCAGAAGCACACAAAAAAGGATAAATAACAGAATACTGAAGAGTCGATGTCAGGGTTACATGGGGGCCGCCCATGACGCCCCTTAAGGCTGGTTTTTACTAGCGACGGCTGGGAGTTGTAGTCGGAGTCGCAATCAGAAGCGTAGAGTAATACCATCTAGTGAAAAACAAACTGACAGAGTCGAAAGCAGAACACCGCATCTGCCTACAATTCGGCGTCGCTTACTATCCAGTGAAAACTAGATTGTCGAAGTTGCAGGCAGAAGCGGAAGAATAAACCAATCACAATGTTCGTTTCCGGGCCTTGTGATTGGTTGGTTCTTCCGTTTCTGCTCCCGACTCCGACAATGTAGTTTTCACTGGATCATAAACGACGGAGTCGTAAACGGGATCGGAAGAAATGGAAACGTTCTGATTCTTCCAACTCCGATTCCGTCGAGCTTATGACTCCGCTTACGATTCTGATTTTCAGTTTACACTAGGTCGTAAGTTCTCTTACGACTCCGACTACGACTCCGACTCCGTCGCTAGTGAAAACCAGCCTTTAAGTAGATCTCTAGGTGTTCCATTTCTTTTCATTTTTGAGACAAACAGAGATCCTTTTCCGATGCATTTCGATGCTGGCTCCCCTCCCCCTCCCCCCCCCCGAAAAAAAATGCTTAGAATAAGGCTCGAAATGACAAGGATATACACTGCTGAACAAGGATGATTACGGAGTACTTAGTTTTGCAATTTCTTAAAAGGAAACGACGAAAACACAGAAAGCAGTGAATGCTTTCAAGACATTTACAGCTGAATGTGATTCATTTACTGGGTCTCTTATAGACTTGCGTCATGTCCAGCAAGTAAATTGCTTTTGGTTCACTGCACTGTTTTCCAGGATGTTCTTTTTTTTTTAACAAAGAATCGATTCAAGTTGAAAGGAATCAATGAAAGCCGATGCAATCATTGAAAGTTAAAGTCAATCATGTGTTAAGTGAAAAACAAATTTTTCTGGATCGTCGATGGGTCTTCCATTTCCAATATAATTCGATTGAGGTCGCGTTTTTACATGTGGAAAAACTCGTAGCGGTTGGAGTCTCATACTCGCTTAAAATGGCAGCGGCACATAAAATATAATACTTTATAGCTAAACTTGGTATTATAATTTGCATTTCACACCATTGTAAAATGGCGAGCACAGCACCGTGCCGAAAAGAGTATGCATTAATTGTGTACGCCACGTGCTCTTGCATAATAACAATAATAATAATAATGATAATAATAATAATAATAATAATATAATAACTTCTAGAGCGCTTTTTACATTTACTGATCAGCAGCGCTTTTAAAACTTAAAATACTACAATAAAATTAATATTTGTAAAACTAATTTCATGTATAATGATAAAATAGAATATTTTATAATAACATAATTTATGCGTCGTATTCTTCTCGGTATGGTACTCCATTCGGTATTTTACATGTGTTTTCAACTGAGCTATTCATATACTGCCATCTAATCTCAAGGGTGATAAGTTAATTAAACTTAATGTCAAACCCCAAAATTCAAGATAACTGAAAATAGGTAAATCAGACTTAGAGGAAGTTCTGAAATAATTTATCCACGGACATATTTTCCGAGCTCAACTACTCAGTTGAATCGATCAACCGCGCAGTCAAGCTCCGCCGAAGTTTTCGACGAGTTATCTCACACTTTTCAAGACCAGTAAAATAATTTATACATATGTTAGTAAATTCAATTTCAACACTTAGGTCTCCCAGCTAATCTCACAGCCTCGCATTTACAATTCGAAATCCTACTGCTAATGTAATTTCATTGCTATAAGTTTTCTTACCGCTGTCACTCGCCGTTCTGTCATCAAATGGAGTACTATTCTCTTGACACAGTCGCTTTATTTCCTGGTCTTGAGCTACCTTGGTTTCTGCGGCCTGTCTAATGTAATATTTCATTTCTCCTTTGTCGCTTTCTCTGCACATATGCGGTCTGGCTTCTGAGGGCTTGACCCAGATCACGAGAACTTCCTTTCTCCCTTCCTCGGAGTCGACGACTTCAGGTTGTAGTCTGGGAACATGCGGTGGCTTAATATTACCGCGGCAGGTCCCCGCTATCTCTTTCTGTATATTTTCCAGGTTCCCTTGAATACCATATGGAACAGCGTCTCGGTTATTTGGTGAATCCCAGTTTTCCTTTTCTTCTACTCCGATGATGATGTATCCGCCGTTAACATTGTAATAGTCGTTAGCGAGGGCGGAAATGGTGTGGATAATTTGCCAGTATGGACCGCCTTTAATTCGTGGATTGTTGTGCCACGCTTTTTTGAACTCTACTCGTTGTGACTCAACTCCCTGAAGAGCGAGGAGATCATTTATGTTTATCGGAATACATGAGGGGTACGATTGTGCGGCAGCCATTTGTCCGAAATTCCTTCGCTTCTTTCACGCGACCCTCGGGGCTTCTAGAATCCAGTTTAGGGGGGTGGGGTGTTGCTCAATTAAATTCGACAGTCTTATAGTGACACTCAGTTTATGACCCAGAACCCCCTTTTGGACTGCTTGTTTAAAGTTATTGTGACCTATAATGCGTACTTCATCTACTGTCGATCATGACGTGACGTCATGTATTTTGAGACTGGTGCAAGAAATAACAAAAGCCCTAATACCCAATGACAAGTCCACTTCCATTTACAACTCATTGTTCAATTTTCCGAACTCCAGCCTTACCTTACTTCTTTCCGAACAATGTTCAGCGCAATGCACCGGGGGGTGGGGAGGGAGAAACGTTAGGTGTCTCCGAGGGCCATTGTAGCTTTGCAATTATCGAAATATTAGCCACTTGGCTCAATTTGGTTGACAATGTCAAAATTAAGGNACCCAGAACCCCCTTTTGGACTGCTTGTTTAAAGTTATTGTGACCTATAATGCGTACTTCATCTACTGTCGATCATGACGTGACGTCATGTATTTTGAGACTGGTGCAAGAAATAACAAAAGCCCTAATACCCAATGACAAGTCCACTTCCATTTACAACTCATTGTTCAATTTTCCGAACTCCAGCCTTACCTTACTTCTTTCCAAACAATGTTCAGCGCAATGCACCGGGGGTGGGGAGGGAGAAACGTTAGGTGTCTCCGAGGGTCATTGTAGCTTTGCAATTATCGAAATATTAGCCACTCGGCTCAATTTGGTTGACAATGTCAAATTAAGGCAGTCGCGGATTTTTATGAAGTGTAAACAGGGCTTTATAACAAGGATAACGAGGCTTGAGTGGAAATGAGAAAGTTTATATCAACGTGCCCAATATCCCATTCATAATTTACGTGCTTTGCATACAATTATAGTAGGCTGATCACTTAATTAGCATATGCAAGCTGATGATTAATACTTGAGGCCAAAAGGTCCGTGATGTAATGGCAACAAAAAATACGGCAAGAACGCAGTTTTGATACGGTAAGAATTATCATATTCGATATTTCGCAGATCACATTAGCTCACATTACGAGCTAACGGTCCTACCGGTAGCAAGTATCGGTGGAAGACAACTTCTCTGACTACGATCTTGAAAGGGAATAGCTTCTCCGAAGGTGATCGTAAACTCACGCTCCTAAACGCAATTGACAATACTCGTGACTATAAAACCTTCGTATCGATTAAAACATAAGACGGCTTGGCTAAACTCACGTGATCGAGAAAATGCAATTTGTTCACCTAAATTACCTTGCTCGTTGGCCTCAGTTCGTTTTCCTGTCAAAATAGTTTGACACTGCAGTTTGTACTCAAAAGCGTCGCGGATGAAAAATCATCAGAAAAATCGAAAGATGTAATTGAAATGCAAGAGGCGAGGAATAAAATTATTTTATAGTGAGGACTGAAAGAATTTAATGTATTTAGTGCCAAGTGGTTGAATATTTAAATTATTATCAAAGTTAGAAGTAATGGTTCTCTTTTGTAGCATGTTGACATGTTTTGATTATAAGCTGAGTGACACTATGGCAAATGTTTGCTGACGTATATGTACACCCCAGCGCTTCGATGTGCTCCTTCATCAGCGTCAAAATTAATCACATATGTTACATTAATATAATGCCGAATTTTTTCAATAAAACCCGCTTTAAACTTTTTTTTTTCTAAGTACATTTGATTTACTCGATCTTTCCTATCCTCGAAACAAATGGTTTTGGTTAGTCGTAATGAGCACTGGACGGAAGGGTTTTTGTTCGCCTCCCCCGTTTCAGTTACTTAGAACATAGCCGGAATATAGCCCCTGTGGGAATGGTTTCCAATCGTTGCAGAACACTTGAGTACAGCTGGGGACTCAATTCCCCCGCTCCCCCAGTTAGAATTTAGAGGCCTCTATAGTAACGCTCATTCGCAGTAGTACTTGCATTGTCTAATTAACCATTTTTTCACAGTTATTTTGTTGAAACATTTTTCTTGCATAGTTAAAGCTGCTGGTGCTGAGTACAGAATATTCTTCGTGGTGTATCAATTCGTACACTGAGTTGGCCAAGGACGGTTATTAGAGGTGGACACCTCGTCACGTACGGTTACTTGTTTTAAGGATGGCGTTCTTTCTATTGATTCTCATTTGCGTGGCATCGATCGCTGCTGTAGTCTCCGCTACTAACGTGACAGTCGTTACAACTTGCACTTCCCTGATCAATGATCAATGTACACAGAATCTCACGTCTTGCCTTCAGCCTCCTTGTTCACTGTCATGTGGAAGGACATCACCTCAATTTTCTTGTAGTCAAGACTGTGTTCCGTCATCTAATCTCACAGAAGGGTACCTGT